AGAAGAGAAGAAGAAGAAGAAGGAAGGAGGAGGAGGAGGAGGAGAGAGGAGAGAGGAGAAAGGAAGGAGAGGAAAGAAGAAAGAAGAAAAAGAAGAAGAACGTGCGGATGGAGACGGAGAGAAAGGGAAGAAAATAGATTGATTAATATGAAGGTTTATATCCAAAAAAACTGCAGTTATAAAAGGGGAGACTGAGATTGAGAAAGGTGAGAAGAGTCTAAGAATAAGATGGAAATATTGATCGGGAGATATTCGAAAGATAGAATAAATAAGGATATTGAAAAAAAATGAGAGGAGGGATAGGGAACAAAAGGAAAATGAGAGGGAAAAAGAAATAAAATGAAACAAAAGGAAACACGTAAAGGTGGTCACGTGGTTTTGGTCTCTCTTCCAGACCACACACGCCTCCCCCACCCCCCCCACCCCCTGCCTTTCCCTCCCTCCCTCTCCAACGGTTGAACACAATGAAAACATCTTTGGGGCTTTCTTCTCCCCCCACCCCCACCCCACCCACCTCCCACCACATAACCACCTTCTCTGCCCCCTCTTCCTCCTCTTGTCCGCCCTCTATTCTCTGTTCTTTCTTCTCTCTTCTTTTCTCTTTCGCTTCAGCTTGCTCCCACGTGCTCCCGTTTGACCCTGCGAGATGGCAACATTTTTTTTCGCGTGGTTCATTTCTTGTGAAAAAGGACTTATTTTTGTGTTCTACGTCCTCGAAATAATCGTTCTGTTCTTATAAGGTATATCACAAGGTAAGAAAACCAACGCATCAAGTGTAGATAAAATGCTATGTTAAAAAAAACGACTGAACTAAAAGGCGATCATGTGACGGCAACATATACCACCAACTCCTGTTTTACGTCAAAGGAAAAAATGGCGGAAAGTTCTTCATCCTGTCTTGAGACAATTGTTTGAGTAGTCCCGACGGCCTGCGACAACGATCACACCCCTTGTGGTTTTCTTGGGTTTTTCCTCCGTCATTTAAAGTGGTGTAGGTATACTATAGGGAGTGTATTCTGGAATGAGGACTTCATTCATCAAGAATTTCGGCCGGTGACGTTTATGGGAGACCAGGAATTTAATGAATGGAAGCCTGCGTGGCCGATTTTTATGAATGATTTATGTTTGTTTTTTTATGGCTTTATATACGTTTAAACAAATATCTAGGTGAGCGTCATACACATAGACAATGAAAAGCCATATCTAGGCGAAGGCGTCGTAACATAAGACA